TAAAGATAGAGCCAAGGTAGTCCCAAAACATGCACATTTCTAGTTTAAAGCATGGCCAAAAGATGCTAACATGATGGACTAAAATAGCATGCAACATTGGCTAGCAAGCATGGTTTACATGGCATGTATATGAAGCGAATGAGAACTCATCAAACTAGCCAAAAATAGTGAATAAAACATGCCAAAATATACCCAAATAATCACTGAAATGCAGCCAATGCATGCAAGAATGAGGGGCTTCTTTGGAAAGCCATTCAAGGGGTTGTTAAGCACATATAAGATAGACACTTAGCATGACCAAACCAACTCTGGAAATGAGTTATGACAGCCCTAAAACTCACAAAATTAGCCCTAAAATCAGTCAAGGAAGCATACGATGAAAGGCTCCCTCAAAAGGCCTTGAATGGAATTATTCTGCACATGCACTATAGACATAAAATATGATCAAAAGGGCCCCGGAAAGACCTAAGGCAGACCTTAAAACCCACAAAATTGGGCCTAAAAAGTGACTTCAATGCATGAAAAGTAGAGCCCCTTTGGAAAGCCAATGATGCTAGTAAAGAAAATGAGGGGTGAGAGGGTCACCCCTCTATGATTTCAAAGCTCAAAACCTCATCAAAGCCACTGAAAATCCCCTAGATTTCAGTGGCTAAGAGGCCAAAACAAGTCCAATGCAAATGCTCTAATGCATAGCCCTAAATATGAAGGAATGAAGCATGCAAAGAAGGAGATGACTTCAAACAGAAAAGTGACCTCAAGAAAACTTAAATAGGAGGTCAAAACAAGGCTTTTTCCAGTTTATAACAAATCTCAAAAATGTTCACAAGTAAGGCTAAAGTATGATGCAAAAATAGCCCTAAAAGAGAGATAGAGGGTAAGAGGAAGTAGATGACCTCAAATAGCAAAGTTCCCTTAATCAAAGTTGAAGAGGAGCTCAAAATATGACACTTTATCGTTTATGACAAACCCCAAAAATACTTGCAAGTGAAGCTAAGTAATGAAGCAAAAAAATGTAAGTTTAAGGGAAATGGACACTTACCCTTGAAGAGCCGACCTCCAGTAGCTGTTGAACCAAGTTGGTGAGCTTTCAATCTCTGCAAATGACTTCCACGGTGTTGGAATGGATGATGGAGGTGTGGTGCTAAGGGTTGTAGTGCAAATGGATCAAGAAAATTAGGGTTTTGGAGCTTGGAATAGTGACAATGGAGGAGGGATGTTATATGCCTTAAGGAATTTTGTTCAACCCTTAGATATGAAGAGGGCGGCCTCTCTTATAGAGAAGAGACGCCAGAGTTTCTCTTGGAAGCTTCAAAGACGTGTATGGAGGATGCACCAAATGCCCCCCAGCTGGCATAGCTGTAAAGTAAACAGAGAGGGCAAAAAGCAAGAAGCAGGCCGGCCAGTTCAGGTGGCCGGCCGGCCACTCCCCCTGGTTGGCCGACTAGGGGTCAAAAGGTTCAAGAAAAATTGCTGGTCGGCCTACCCAGAAAGGTGGCCTCCCGGATGAGTAGAGCACAGCCCTGTGGAGAAAAGCCAGAAAATGTGACCCATGAGAGAGAAAAGCTAGCTTTTAAGCAAGGGTCAAAAGAGTCAAGATGAATTTCTGGCTGGCCTGCCCGTATTGGTGGCCTCCCAGATGAGCACAACACAATGATGGTATGAAAAGCCAGAAAATGTGGCTCAAAAGTGGGAAAAACCAGCTTTCAGTCAGAAAAATCGGCTTTTGGAGAGAGAAAATGAGAAAACTGGCTTTTCAGGGGAAGAGGTGGCCGGCCACCATCCTACCACCTCCCTAACAGTGAAAAATAGGGTCTCTATCAAAAATGGACCAAAACGGATGCAAAACAAAGGTTCGGGGGCCAAAACGCGCGGTTCGGGGCCCCGAAAACAGGCTGTTAGGCACCGAAAGTGGTGTATGACCACAAAGGTGGTCTCCCGAGCCACAGTGTCCCTCTAAAGGGAGGAAATAAGGTGTGTGCCAAAAATCAGAGCAAACGGAGGTAGTTAAGCAGTCCCGAACCGAGGCACACGGCCGACGGCTTCGAAAACCGAAAACTGGGCTCCAAACGGAAAAAATGGCCTACGACCACGAAACGTAGCCTACGGCTACTGAGAGATGGTCTACGAGACCTCTCCCTCCCTTCGGGAAGAGAAAACGGAGAAAATAGGACCCGGTTTCCAAACTGAGGCAAGGCACAAAAAGAGCCCCGAAGTCCGGAGGTAAGGCTCGCAGCCGAGACTCTGAAACCTCAGAACGAGCACAGAATGCAACATCACCGAGCGCTCAAATGGTGACGTCTAAGTCTTAAGGTCGGTCAAAAATGGGGTGTCTACACCAGAAAAAATTACAGATAAGGGAAAATTACAGAAAATTGGACATTAAAAATTAAATGTCAGAGAAAATCAACACAGCATCATAAACATAGGAGAAAATTTTTCAATAATTGTTAAAATTACATATAGAAGTAAACATACCAGAGAAAATGAATGAAAAAAAGTAAACATGGCAAGCGAAAAGAAAATTTCCATTCCACAGTTAGCAAGATAAAATAAACAAAGTAATGTAAACATGCCACTGAGAATTATACCATATTGAAACCAAGAATTGAACAAAATAAACATACCAGAAAAAAATACACATTCCGGAGAAAATTACACATTCTTGAAGAAATTTTTATTCCAGAGAAAATTTCAATTCATAATATTAAAATGCAAGAGAAATTTACATACACAACCAGAGAAAATTAACCATGATAGAGACACTCAAGGGAGGAAAGTGGTGTGATGTGGTTAGAAAAAATTATAAATACCAGAGAAACTTAGACAGGGGCAAGAGATTAATAGACATTGCAGAGAAAAATACATATTCCAGAGAAATTTACAAAGCAAAGAAATTCATAGACAAAATCACAGAAACATGTTCAAGAATAAGATCAAAATTCAGAGAAATAATTTTTTCTCAAAATACACATGGCAGAGAATATTCAAAGAAGAAACATTCATTCTAGTCCATAATATTAAAATTCCAGAAAAAATTAAAAATGATAGAGACACACAAAGGAGGAAAGTAATGTGATGTGGTCAGAGAAAATTATAAATACCAGAGAAACTTAGATAGAGGCAAGAGAGTAATAGACATTCCAGAGAAAGATAGACATTCCAATTAAAAATACATATTACAGGAAATTTACAGAGCAGGGAAACTTATAGACAAAATTACAGAAACATGTTCAAGAATAAGATAAAAACACAGAAAATTGTTTTTGTGAAAATAAGCATGCCAGAGAAAATTGAAAGAAGAAACATACATCAAGCAAAAATCAGAGAAATTCAAATGCCAGAGAAATTTACAGATAAAATCACACAAACATGTTCAAGAATAAGTTCAAAACACACAGAAATAACTTTTTCCAAATTCAGGTAGCTTTTTGTTACGAAATTGAAACCCTAATTTATGGAAGGTTATTATAAAATGCTATTAACTGTGTTTCCAGAGAAAATCTAGTTGTATTGTAGAAAAACTGACCAGAGTTAGGATGATACTTGAATGACGAGCTGATATGGCCCGAGATGAAGATGCGACGTGACGAAGATGGACTGAGATGATGATGAGCAGTGAAAACGAGGCTTTAACCTAGGTCAGAGAAATTTGTGAGGAAGGAATGGGAATGATTTTTGGAGAAGATAACGAAACTCTAATGTCGATGGTGCAGAAACCCTAATTCTGTTGTTCTCCTGTTCGTGAAGATGCTGGATGTTTGGAATGGAACTCAGACGTCGGAATGAGTTTCGTTTCTGTGTTGATTTTGACAAGGGTATTTTGGTCCACAAAATAATTAAAAACGCGCGCCAAGTTGTTCAGGGACCTGATGCACCACTATTTTTTTGGGTGTCCTTTATGCTCTAAATTGTTATTATTAGAGACCTTAAAAAAAATCCCCCCATTCTATCTCTGAAAACAAACGGGACTTTAGAGTTTACAAGGAACAAACAAGGGTTTTCAATTTTGTATTTTTTTAAAATAAAATAGTTAATACTTATAATCATCGAGTTTAAAATAATTTTATTTTTTTATAAAATATATATAATTCTAATTTTTCATCAATTTTCTTTATCAAATTTAAATTTAATTTTGATTAAAAAAAGTAATTAAAAATGTGTTCTACATTTTATCAAATTTGTATTAAATTAAAAAATATATATATATTTGTTTCAACCAAATTAAAGATGAACCAAATTCATCAAAAACGATTAAAATTAAATTTTAAGATAAGCTTGAAAATTTTCATCATTGCATTCCCCCTCTTCTCAATCGCCACAATGCCCCCACTTTCCTAGCCCCCAACCCTTCCAGCATCGACCATGTGGCTAACGAGACAGAAATATGGTGTAAATAGAATCACCTAAATAGAAAATATCATAATGAGAGAACGAAGAATAGGACAACAGCACAATCATAATCCATGTACCGGACAACACAAACATTGGATTAAATGGTAGTCCCGGAAACAATTATAGTAACCTCCCATAAAATCACTTAATATGACAATTCCCAGGCTGAAAACCTATAATTGTGTCATTCATCAACAGATTAAACTAGCAACTCAAACTAACAACTTAAGTAATATTCATTTGGTATAACAACTTCAGGACTGTCAAAAATTATATAACTCTCAATTGAGAACTGCTTTAGAACTTCGAGCTTCAGACCATTTAGTTAGGACAACACAGGCTGGGACTCTGGCTTCACGTCTCAGCTGTAAGAACCTCAGAAGGTTAGAGCAACATTGGATTACTTAGGCTACTTGTATTCATTGCCATCCTCAAGCATCAATGGAGCTTGTGATTGGTTAATCATGACGGTTCTGTGAATAGGTACATGAGTAATGGAGCAACCACAGCAACACTTAAACTGTTTCCCAGCAATGCATAACTGCAGAGAACAACAATCAAGTTAAAAGTCACCAAGGTGAAGCTATGCATGTAGCTTTTCAAGAGTCAGGTCAGTTGATATTTCAGATCTACTTGTAAGTTTCTTGTATAATTCAGAGCTATGAAGCACGGATACTTCAAATAGGGTGACGTATCCGTATCGGATACCGATACTCCTTGGATACTCGCGGATACATATCGGATACTTATTAAAAGTACCGGATACTTTTTAATTATTTTTTCATTAATTTTGGAGTATCGGATACTCCAAGTCATGTTTACTTGTTTTATGAAATTAGAATTGTAACATTTCTTGCATAGTAATATAATATAATATAATTGCAAGTATAAATATAAGAATATTTCTCTAATATTTTATTAAGTTCTTCGATAGGAAGAGCATAGTGAGTTAAATAATAGAATTTATCAAATTGATGTATCTTAATTATTTCATGCATGTCCCCTATAGCTACATAGAAAGCAAGAATTAACAAGAGAATATAATAATGGTAAAATTAAATATCAATAAATAAATAAGCAAGTAAACTTGAATATAATATTTGTCACTAGTGTTAAAGGAAAAAACCATAGGGACAAATTGCGAATTGTTCTATTATTGTAATATAAATATATTAAACTTGATATTGAAATGAAATATTTGCAAGATCTATTAAAAATTTAAAAAGTAAACAAGCTACTAGCTTAAATTAATACAAAATTCTTAAAAGATAGTATTTTGCATTATAAAATTACATTGTGGTTTCTCAACGTTCTTTAACTTATGTATAACTCACTATTAATAATTTTAAAAAATATATTTTTCACAAACGTATCCTAACCGTACCCGTATCCTATTTTTTTAAGTTTTGTCGTATCGCCGTATCCGTATCGTGTCGTATCCGTATCTCGTATCCGTATCTATGCTTCCTAGATTCAGAGTTGGGAATTATAACCTCTCTCTCGACCAATTTTTAGATTTTATAGAGTATTTTGGCACACCGTGAGGTGTATAGGGTTTTTTTATTTTTATTTTTTTGTATGGCATTGAAAACATATATTATGAATTGCTAGTATATTGAAAACATACCGTTGTCGAAGGCTTATTGTTTGAGGAAAGGAGAAATCCTTTGGAAAGGAATGCAGATTGGCAACCTAAAATCCATAGAAAATAACTCGTTTCAATCAATACAAATAACTGACGTACGATAAACCAGAAGCTACTTAAGAAATTAAATTAAAATCCACCTACCTCCCTTGGGGTAAAATATCTTAGGCATTGCTCCTCCAATGAAGATGCTTCATCCTTGGTCTTTGGCTGCATGTTTTTTATTTTAGCTAATTTCATGATAAAACAAATACCATAATTCATAATAACATAAGCATGTAATGTCATTTTCTTTATCAGTATTTCATTGAAAGGCACCAAAGAAGGGGGGAACAACCCACTATGCACAATTTGCAAAGTACACAAAATTTTTGCACCCCACAGAAATGGTGAGAAGGCGGTAGAATATGAAGGTAGAAAATGGTGTGTCCCTAGCCAGACTCAATTGTTAAAGCACTGATTATATACAAACTAGGTGCACTGCTAATGAAGTATGGGCAATAAGCATGAAGTGTAAAGCTCACGTAGTCTCCTCATTAATTAGTAACATCATATGCCTGCATACACACTCACAGCCACATTCACTCATACATTAAACAAAAGGCTCAGCAGGTTTGCAAAGAAAGCTTACCTGGACAGTTGCCAAAAGGGAGCCAGTACCCTTAACATATCGATAGTAGCTTTTTGTAAAACAACAGCAGCGCTTTGAATCAGGATAGACAATATCTATATTCTTTAAAGAAATTTCACAGGGAGACATAGTTATTCAATGGAACAAATATAATATAATTATGAAGAATTATATCGGCAATTAGAAGAAAAAACTAGGATACCCATCGCATTTCCCCATCTTTCTATCAAGCCAAACGGTACAAAGTACTGGCTTACAGCAGTAACATCAGATCCATTTCCTTCATCACTTTCAGAAATATTTGTAGAAACCACGGTTGTGTGCAAGAAGCCAGATCCCATTTCCATTTGATTGCTAGGATTCTTGAACTCAAGAAAATTTTCTATAGGCTCACAAGCTTGCAGCCACTGATCGCAGCTCTCTTGTGGTTGATTACTTTCATTAACTATATTGTTAGCCTCGAGCTCGAACAATGGGCTTGGAGACCAAAACAGCTGGTTATTCACAAGCGGAGATTGAAAGGAAGAAGGTTTTCTTTTGGCCTGCAGTGTAAATAGTACAGATTACATGTTAATCTACAATGCCAGAATACAATATCCTTCCAACAGCAATAAAAACTCTCTCTGGCCATATATTTGCTAAATAGCCATCAATCAGCTAGACACCAAGTTAATTAAAGAAAAGGTCCTCTCCCAGGTGCTGCGCATAGTATTGACGAATTACAAATAGTACCTTTTGCATATTTTAGGTTCTGCTTATGTGTTAATAATTATATAGACTTATAGTTGTAGGATAGAAGGAGAGATGGATTAGGCTTCTCCGATGGTTTCTTAGGTAAGGTTGATCTGGTTCTGGCCTCTCTGGGTTTTAAAGGTTTAAAAGTGTGAAAATCAAAGGGTAGAAGGGAAAGGAAAGGACACCTTTAGGATTAAGAATCACTCCTTAAATCCCTTAGGAATCGAACTTATGGTTAGAATTGCATCACACAATCATGGAAAGCTTTAAAGCTAGTGAAAATAATCTTTACCTTGTTCTTCGTTAAAATTGAAATATTGGCTAATCATAGAGGACTTTACCACTATTTTTTTAACCAAAACTATAACTTCAAAATGAGAAACAAACTTCAATTTTAAAGCCCTTCTGGACCAACTAAAATCTATAAATAGAAACCTAATAACATTACCCAACTACTAGCCATGGGCAACCAAAAAACAACCCATGTCCAGCAAGTTCGAAAATTTACCAAAATACTCTCAACTCTTTAAACATATTTCACACGTATAAACTGACAACCAGCAGCCGTATAAACTGACAACCAGCAGCAAACTTACTTAAAGAATAATTGACTCAAAAACAACTATGCAATTTCCGGAATGGCCCCCCCACTAATTGTTCCAAATCAGGGGCTGGGGCTTGGAAGCAACTCTTCTACGCCTTTTCTACATCTTACAAGGGAATAGCCACTACTCACTTAAAAGGACAATCATATAACTAGGGACTAAAAAATTTAACACCAAATAAACTAACAGACTCCATGTACAAACCATTCAAAGAATCACAAACAAACAAACCCACACCTACCTACATGTAAATAGATATATATATATATATATAGAAAGAGAAGCTACCAGACAGAAGTAACGTGGCCTAGAATAGGGCACACCAAATTGCAATGGGCTCAGAATGAACTCCTGTGTAACAAAATCACCTTTTGCCAATATCTCAATCATTATTCTATGCGTATCAGATGTCTGCAACACATACACATGAAAAAAGAGAGAGAAAAAAAAGATAAAACAAGAAAACAAGAAACAAAAAAAGTGTTAATAATATATATGTAAAGGGAACTGAATTTATTTATTGAGATAAAAGTTTTCTATACAAACCTCAAACCCTACAACATTCTCCACAAATATCATGAGAGGAGGTTGAGAAGTTTCTGGTATAAGTTCAAGAATTTTGAGAAAAGAAGATGCCCGAGCATCAGCCGAGCCCTTTTGAAGACCTAAATAATAACAGTTTGAGAACAGTTTGCCAATCAAAATGAAATTAACAAGCAGAGGATAGAAGAATTTTACCTTGCCGAGTGTAAGGTTGACACGGAGGAGAAAGAAGCCATGCATGAGCACGATAGCTGTCAAGATCAGCAGCACTCAGGGTTTGAATGTTACCCTAAACTCAGCAAAAAAGTAATATTGACCATAACACATTTTAGATAAGCTCTAATAAATAACTGGTCAAATGCGATCATGGGTGATCAGTATTTCTTAGCAGCCAAGGGCTAAACAACAAATTAATGTTTAATAGCGGAAAACCCAAAATCCTCCATATAGTGGACAAGATAAATGGGTATTACATTTTTTTTTTTAAATTAAGAGAATAAATAAATAATTAAATAAAAGGCTGGAACCTAGGCATATATTGGCAGATGATTCAAGGTTTGGAGGGGTGCCACTTTCCCTATTTAGCCCAAGGGAGGGGTGCCCCTTCACAAATTTGTGAAAGAGTGAGGAAGGATTAAATAAAAATAAATCAATGCAAAGGGCTGCTAACAGGTCACCAAAACTTTTAAATTTTAGCATAGTAAAATATGAATGGCTTAGACAATAGCCAAAAGTAAAAAATAGATGATGATATGAGTTCCTTTGACAGATGATGACTTGGCTTAGACAATAGGCAAAAGTAAACAAAACGTGATGATATGAGTTCTTTTGATGGTAAAAGATGGTGCCACTTCTCTGACTTAGCCCTAAGGGAGGGGTGCCCCTCTCCAAATCTGTGACAGGGTGGTGGCTGTTGTAGTTGAGTCTAGAGTGATTTTTCGTAACGTGATTTTTTGTATGGTTGAATGTTTTTTTTAAAGTGATTATTAATACTATTGTACTCTCAACTTAGTCCTATTGTACCTTCAATGTTCGTAGAATTAAATTTCCGTCATTCAAAAAATCACTTTAAGATCACTCTAGGAAAACTCACTATAGAGGATATGGATTCATTGTAGCTGGGGGTAAATACCTCCAACCCTTGTCAGGTTTGTTGTTTATCCCCTCAAACCTACCCTTCCCCCTAACAATAACACGAACCCACGGTCGGGCAGACAAGTATTGTAACTGAAAATTTTGGGTTGAGTTACCATCCCTCACATAAAATATGGTTTACAAGCAATGAGAATCTTGCCCCATCCATCCATCCAAGCCAAGCCAAACAAATGATCTAAATAACCGTTACCCTACAATTTCTCTCTTTTCTGTCTTTCTTTCCTTCAAACGTTTATTCAGAGACCAAAGAACAAACACCTTACAGGCATGACAGACAAGGAGAGACCATAGTTTAAACCATGATAACCATAATTGATACATACATACATACATTCTCTCTCTATGTGTATGTATCTAGAATTCGTCAACAATAAATACCGAATGTTAATTGTGAGATAGAAGACAATATACCTGGTAGGGTCGGTGGCCAAAATTGTACTCATAAACATCATTTGCTACGTCGTTGATGTCGAAAGCTTCGACAATCGTTGCGTTCACACCAGCCTTCATGATCGAGTATCTCTGCCGCCATAAAAGAAGAAGCTTGAACACAAGCACACACTGTATATACATATGTAGCATATAGAAATGTATATGTATAGAGAGAGAGAGAGAATAGGAGTACCATGCCACCAATACCACTGTAGAATTCAAGGACCCTCCATGGTTGGTCTTGGTGGTGGTTGCTTGAACTCTCCTCCACCATAGCTCGTTTTGGGTCTTCACTGTCAACGTAAAAGATCGGTCTTTGTAAAATCGCAAATTACACTGTTGGCCCCTCTACTTTTATTTCAGTGTCTCTCATACCGTACGTTTCAATTTAGCCCTCAATTATGAATATTGATTTATTTCAGTCTCTCATACCATATGTTTCAATTTAGCCCTCAATTATGAATATTGATTAATTATTTGTCCATGTTTATTGGGTTTTTCAGTTAAAAAACCTTAATTTTTTAACTAATCATTTTTAATGATTTGAGTAGCTTTTTCCTTTGGTACAAATGATTTGAGTAGCTTGTCATAGAATTTCATCACACAAATGCAACAAGTATTACCGCGTAAACTCGTGTTATAGACGATTAAGTAATAAAATGTGGTAAACAATATTAAATATGTTAAAAATTAGAAAAATTTATTGGAAAGTCCTATTTTGAGAACTTCCGTACTATCTCGTCTCACGTTTTAAATGGTCGATTGAGGAGTCCTTATTAGGTATAGTGTGTAACTAGCAAATCATTTTTCAAACGTAGATGGGTATTAGTTAGACAGATATACCCTCACTACTTAATTGAGAAAGTTTGTGGGATACTCTAATATGGCAAGTATTATTATAACACTCCAACAATGGGACAACGTAACAGATATGATGCGACACTCTAAATTTTTTACTCATTCTTAGGCCTCGTTTAAGAACAAGCTTAGTAACTTTTTGACTTTTTGGTTAAAATATGAGGTAAAAAAAACTTGTATGTTTTGAATAACTTTTTAATTTTTTACGAAAAAATATGCAAAAAGTAGAGAAAAAATGAAATATTTGACTTTTTGATATAGGTTATAGGTTTATTTTTTTATTTTTTTAGTGATTCTTTTTTTTTGCTTTTAAGCTAAAACTATTACTTCCAAATGTAACAACGTGGTAGATATAACTGGACACTCAAACGAACAAAAAAATCCTTAGTGTATTTTTCCTAAACGTGACGTGGCGAACCCAATTTGATTGAATTACTGTGTGTCTTCATGTCACATGCCAAAAAATAATTGGTAAGAAATTCACGTCGCATGCCGCATGCGTGTTAAAAATAACCAAACTTTAAAAAGCTACTAGCGTACTTTTCGAATAACGTGACACGCAAACACCTCACCACATTCCCTATACATAAAAACTCCTTAATGTACTTTTTCTAAACGTGACATGTGACACTACAACGTGGCAGACCCAATTTGATTAAATTACTGCATATCTTCACGTCACGCGTCAAAAAACAACTAGTAAGGAATTCACATCCCACACTGCGCGTGTTAAAAATAACCAAACTTTTAAAAAGCTATTAGTGCGCTTTTCGAACAATGTGACATACAAACACCCCACTACCTTCCCATTACATAACCACGCCACATGCCCCCAATTGTACTAACAATGGCAAAATAGTCAACAAATAATTTAAGGGACCACTCAATCACCAAAAAAATATTTAAGGCCTTATGAATTACAAGTCTTCAAAACAAGATTTACTGGTCAATTTCCCTAAAAATTAACTAAATACTATGATATTAATTTAGATGGTTATTTAAATAATAGATTTGAGTGATTTCACTATGTTTATATAAATATGCAGAACTAATTAATTTTTTTTTAAATACACTCAATTGAATAAACTCAATTGAAAAGGAAGTGTAAGAGTGGAATTCTATAAATATAAGGTAAAGATAAAAAATAAAAAAATAAAAAAAAATTAAGTTTAAATTTGAAGATAATTATAGAAAGAGAAAATTATATAAATTTTCAAAAAAGAATAAACTCAATTGAAAATTAAGAGCAAGAGTGGATTTTGTAAATATAAGATAAAGATAAAAAAAAAAAATCAAGTTTAAATTTGAGGATGAACTATAAGAATATAGAAAGAGAAAATTAAATAAATTTTAGAAAAATGGGGTAAAGAAAAATTCAGTAAACATCAAATGAAAATTAAAAAGAAAAAAGAAATAAATTGAAATTTAAAAATTCAAAAATAAAATAAGATAAACCTGGAAAAAAAATAATATAACTATAATAATAGAATAACAAAAGAAGTTAGTAGTTTAAAAATTAGATAAGACTGAAATGTCAGCTATAATTTTTTAAAAGTTGTATTTAAAAAAATAATAAAAAAAAACTCAAAAATAAAAATTGAGATGTAGTAAGTTAAAAATTAGATAAGAGTTAAATGTCAACTATAATTTTTTTAAAAAAATTTAAATTTTGTGTAGTTAAAAAATAAGCATTTATGATATTTTATTATGCAAATTTAACTCTATTTTGTGTCTACTATTAATAATTTTTAAAAAATTTTGTATTCTAAAGATACTTAATTAAAAAATAAAAATAAAAAAATCAAGGGATCACCTTTTCATTTCTTAATTTTGTCTTGTGTCAATAAACTATAAATTTCAACAAATTTTGTATTTTGAAGCAACTAAATAAAAAAAAAATAGTATCACTTTTATTTTTAAAATTTTAGTTACATTCATTTTAATTTTGTTGTGTCAATAACCTATAAATTTAGCAATTTTTTTTATTCTGAAGGTACCAAATAAAAAAATAAAAAACATCACTTTTTTTTAAAAAAATCTTAGTTTGTTTTATTTTTACTTTAAGTTAAGAACCAGTAAAGTGGCATTGGTAGTATTATGCACGAGTATAAATAAATAATCAAAAATTAGTTTTAAAATTAAATAATAATATAAAATTTATCCAAAATGTGTTGTAAAAAGGGTTTTTTATTGATAAATCTCATTTAAGGATGTTCTAACCCAATAAGTCCATAAAGGAAATTTATAACCTAATTAGTCCTATATGTTTGTACTTTTATTCCATGAAATCCTTTTTTTCTAATTCTATATTTTTTTGGACTATTATACCCTTATGTATTATGTTGATACATAACATACACAAAAAAAGAAAATACACGTTTCTGTTTTGTTTGTTAGCGTTATTCATATTGATGATTCTGATTCAGTTAATCAATGTCGACCGTTTATGGTAGGATTTCATTGTGGTAGGGTTTCAGTGCAGTGGAGAGAAGACGACGACGAGTTTCTGTACCGTGGGAGAAAAGACGAAGACGACGGGTTTCTGTCCGTCAGTGTGTTCGTTTTCGTAGTTCGGTATTTTTGTGTGCTTTGGTTCGTTACGTAATTGTTGGAGATTAGTCGTTGATCGGAGGTGGAGAACGATTACATAATTTCTTTCTCAAGGTTAGTATCATTTTGTTTATGAATGCATGTTCATTTATGTGAAGGATTGCATGCTCTGTTTTTTATTCATGTGCATTTTTTCGAATACATGGGTAATGCAAGTGCATGTTTAATGAATAAGGTTCTAATTTTTTTACTAGTAATGCATGTATATTTTTGTTGTTTGAGTTTCGAATATTTAATGGAGATGTATATGCAGTTGTTTAAACAAATTGATTGTGGTGGATTAGTGGTGAAAAGTTGCATATACAATTATTTTGATTTTTTTGTTATCCTCATTATTAATCAGTGTTAATATTCACATTATCTACAATGGAAATTTGTCATTTGTTTTATCAATCAGTGTGAATATTCACACATCCGTATAACATTGAATAGTGTATATATTTTCACTGTGTTCATTGCCACTATGCAAAATGTTAAAGTTCACATCAGACCATTGTATTCAATCATATAATCACAAGCCACAACGTTTATTTAGATACAAAAATGATGTGAATATTCACTTCCTTGTTTTGTTTCATCTCTGTTAGGCTAGATAATTCAGAATATATGAATAATGTAAATGTTCACATATCATTGGCTATAATGTGTTTATTCATTTCCTTGTTTTTGTATTTTTGCAGCAGATGGATACATTTATGTTGTTGGTGTGCTCATATGTGTGTAGTACTATTGTAATAAATGTGGTGCGAGCTCTGTCTTATTAACTTTTCATGGAGCGTGCGTGTGAAAAATGGAGCGCGTTATCTACTGATTGTGTTTCATTGTTCTATCGGCTACTTAGGATTAATAGGTGTTATTTTGGACAGTGATGATGAGCTTCAAAGTATGTTCTTGCTTGCCAAATCAATAAGGGTTCAACATGTAGAGGTTGTTGTTGGATTGATGTAATGTTGGAATTGCATGGGTAGTGATAATGATAAAGATGAGAATGTGGGTGATGGTTTTTTTGTTTTTGGAGAGTTTGAGATTTTATGGGTTTTTTTTGTTTCTAGATTTCTGGTTTTTTGTACTAAAATTTTGTCATATGTATTGTCAATTAATGTTAATATTTACACTTTTATATAATATTGAATGGTGTATATGTTTTCGTTGTGTTCATCACCATTATGCAATATTGATGATATGAATATTCAAGGACCATTTTGTTTTAGACACAAACATGATGTGAATATTCACAATGCAATAAATAAATGCGAAGATTTACATTAATTATAATATGTTTGTTCAAGGGTTGTACACCTAATTAATGTATAATGTGAATATTAACATTTGTAGTCAACCACAGTTTGATGTGAATATTCACAATGCAATAAATAGACGTGAAGATTCACGTTTATTCTAATATGATCATACATCTAATTAATGTATAATGTGAATATTAACATCTGTAGTCAACCACAATAAACATAAGACATAATTTAAACATTCACATTTATTGAATATAAATTAAGATGTAAACATTCACACAAACTTCAACATAAGAAAACAGATGTGAATGTTCACAGTCTATAGTGTTTAGCACATGCAACACATCAACACCAAATATACTATCAAAACACATAGGTACGTGAGAAGTATATCATTGATTTATATATATTTTGTCAAGTGTTTTTAACTGCAAGTTATCAAAAAAAAAAAAAAACTAGCACTGTATTCTGGTATAGCTAGTGAATGGTGGACAACCCCAACTATTGAACAACAAAGTTTGCCTCAAGTAGTCCAGCTGAAAATCCGAGAACTTGGTGCTTCTCATCGGTTTTAATAAGCTTGTAATGTTTGATCGATAATTGGCATGTCGTATGTTGATGTGGGTGTTGCTCTCTAGAGGCATGCTCTCTTCTTTAACAT